CTGTTACTCGGGGTCCACTGCCCAGGGCTGGGACGCTGTACTGCCCAGGGGTGATGGGAGGGGAAGTGGGCAACAGTTGAGAGAGGGGACAATGGGAGAAAGCACGATGCGGTTCTGAGGCCATGGCTTCCAGACGGCCGCACTCCCGCGCCCTGGAGTGTAGACACACGCGGGGACGGGAAGCCGGTGCTCTCCGCACCTTCTTGAGAGCTCGTAGCTGAAAAAAGTTGGAGTCTCTGGGATCGGTTTTCCAAATCGAGTGGCACCGTCTTGTGGTCATTTCCTCCTTTGTTCATCAGTTTAGGATCTGAGGGCTACTGCCAACAGTGGTGAAGAAAAGAGACTAAATATCCCAGTGGACGGATAGCTGACATTTATCCTGGGGAATGAGGTTGGCAAGAGCAAATGGGAAGGCTTTTCACCTCTCTCTCTCTCTCTCTCATTCTTGTTTCTTTTGGGGATGGGTGTGCCCCTTCCCGCCATCACTGAGCTGCCTGCTTCCCTGTCTTCTTTTACCTCCCAGCAGAAGTACCTTCTCAGCTCAGACCAGAGGCAGGTTACCTTAGAAGGGAAGCCCGAAAGGGGGGCAAAAGGGACACCAAAGATAAAAGTATCCAGGTCAGGGTTGCCTGGCTGGCTCAGTCAGAAGGGCATGTGACTCTTGATCTTGGGGTTGTGAGTTCGAGCCTCACGTTGGATATAGAGCTTACTTAAAAATAAAATCTTAAAAAAAAAAATCAGTTCCCAGGTTCTCCTCCTTCATTTTTTCTAAAGATTTTATTTATTTATTTTGGGGGGGGGGCACAACCAGGGGAGGGGCAGAGGGAGGAGCAGGCTCCCCGATGAGCAAGGAGGCTTGATGCAGGACTTGATCCCAGGACCCTGGGATCATGACCCAAGCCGAAGGCAGACGCTTAACTGACTGAGCCGCCCAGGAGTCGCTCTCCTCCTTCATTCTATATACAACCGTTCTCTGTTAGTTACTAGACACTCTTAGAATTCTCACCCAAAATACCTAGAGTCTCCTAACCTCTTCCCGCTGCCAACACGGAGCCCACCCACCTGGCATCAGAGGCGTTTACTCAGTGGCTCAGCCCCTTACTCCTCACCTCGTCTTTGGAACCCTTTGAAACACTCTTGATCAGACTTCTTTCCCCTAATACCTCCCATTCCAATGCAAGAAAACTCAATCCACAGAACTTCACATTAGCGTTCTCTTCTAGTTTCTGATGGGCTCCAAATCCACATCCTGCCTACAGACGTTGGGATTGAAGTCCAGCTTGAGTTCTGGAAGCGTTGGCAGTACAGGGTATGAATGAACCACACTTGTTATATAGTGGAGAAAATTTCAAATTAGGAGATCAGTCACAGATATTAGCTGGCCTGGCTCAAGCTCAGTTACTAACACACAGTTGGGAAGAAGCATCACTAAAGAGATGAGTCAACTGGCACTGTTCCAAATGGCTGGACCTAGTGTACCTGTGCTCTCGTAGCTGAATTAAGGAGCCCCTTGGAGCTGGATGTTGACTTTAGGGGAGAAACACAGACTGTACTGTGAGCATCTGAGGACCATTTGGCTCAGTTTTTAAATTTATTTCAGTTCATACAATTGCTCTGGATTATTCTATCCCAACATCCTATCTTTGTCTGCTAAAATCATGGTACTCAACATGTGCCCTGGCCATTTGTCACAGAAACTGGAGGCCTTCCCTTTTCTCATACCAGCTCATGGGACAAGAGCTAGCCTTGAAACCCAAGGGTCCTAATTTCTTTTCCTGAATTTACTGGGCTTCATGAAGAAGTACATCAGAGAAGGCCACTCAGGCGCTAGAGAATCTTCCCACCTAGTATTCCATCAACACTTGAAGTTTAACTTCTTTCTTTAAAAAAATAAAAATCAACAGATCAGAACAAAGGTGACTAAATCAATAAGAGCTTTTTAAGCAGGCTTTTATAATGTGTATTTTAAAAGTCAGGATATTGATGTATAATTTAAGTTTCTTGAATTTCGGGGGGGGTGGACTGTATTTTTAATTGTGGCAAAATACACATAAGAAAATTTACCATCTTGGACGCCTGGGTGGGTCAGTCAGTTAAGCATCCGACTCTTGATTTTGGCTCGGGTCATGAGATTGAGCCCCGCATCGGGCTCTGCACTCCTCGGGGAGTCTGCTTAAGATTCTCTTTCTCCCTCTCCCTCTGCCCCTCCATCATATCCTCCACCCCACTGTGCACGCACACGTGCACACACACTCTCTCTAAAGAAAAAAAAAAAAAGTGGGGAGTGCCTGGGTGGCTCAGTGGGTTGAACATCCAACTCGAAAAAAAAAAAAATGGGTTGTGGGATCAAGCCCTGTGTCAGGCTCCATGCTCAGTGGGGAGTCTGTTTGAGATTCTCTCCCTCTGCCCCTTCCCTCCCTCACTCTTGCATGCTCTCTGTCTCTCTAAAATAAATAGATCTTTAATAAAATAATTGAATTGAATTTTTTTTAAAAAGATTTTATTTATCCATTCATGAGAGATGGAGAGAGAGAGGGAGAGAGAGAGAAGCAGAGGGAGAAGCAGGCTCCCAAGGAGCAGGGAGCCCGATGCGGGACTCGATCCCAGGACCCTGGGATCATGACCTGAGCCGAAGGCAGACGCTTAACCATCTGAGCCACCCAGGCGCCCCTTGAATTGAATTTTTTAAAAAAGAAAGAAAAAAGAAAATTTACCGGGGCGCCTGGGTGGCTCAGTCGGTTAAGCGGCTGCCTTCGGCTCAGGTCATGATCCCAGGGTCCTGGGATTGAGCCCCACATCTGGCTCCCCGCTCGGCGGAAAGCCTGCTTCTCCTTCTCCCTCTGCCTGCCACTCTGCTTGCTTGTGCTGTCTCTCTATCTGTCGAATAAATAAATAAAATCTTAAAAAAAAAAATTTACCATCCTAACCATGTTTAATATATAGTGCAACAGTGTTAAGTACATTCATGGTGTCGTGCAGCCAATCTGCAGAACTCTTTTCATCTTGCGAAACTGCAGCTTTACACCCGTGGAGCAACAGCTCCCCATTTTCTCCTCCCCCAGCCCTTACAGCTACCTTTCTACTTTCTGTCTTGGAATTTGACCCCTCTAGGCACCTCATATAAGCGGAATCCTATAGTATTCGTCTTTTTCTGACTGGCTTATTTCACTTCGCGTAGTGTTCTCGATGTCCATCCGAGTGTCAGAATTTCCTTCCTTTTTAAGGCTGAATAATACTCCGTTGTGTGACTAGCCCACATTTTGCTTATCCAATCATCCGCCAATGGACAGTATTTGAATTGTGCCGTTATGAACACGGGTGTGGGAATGGCTCTTCAAGACCCTGAGTTGTTAGTGTCTCTTAAAATTGAGTGAAGGAAGCCTAGAAGAATTCCATATCCCGTGGTTTTACTTTTTTTCTTTTTACCATTCGGAAAAAATCAGGAACGCAGCACTAATTTCACCAGGTTTTTTTTTTCCAGCTTCTCGGTGTGCTGACTTTTCAAGGGCTTCTTGTGCCGTTCTTCAGCGATATGTGAGTGCTCTGAGAATTGCCATTAAATAGAAAGTTGCAGCAGTCTAGCTCTGTCTCCATGATTGAGACACTGATCAAAAACGGAATTATCAGGGACTTGGTGTATTACTAAAACCCACTGTCCCAGTTTCCCCTCACACGGGACTTGAAGTCCCACACCATCCTTCCCCAGGCCAAGAAAGCACGTGGTCCCAGGATAGTCCAGGAAGTCCAGCTACAATCTGCCCTTCTCACTGGCAAAAACCTATAAATAACATCTGTGATCCGGTTTCAGAGTCAGCAAAGGGGCAAGGGCTGAGGGGTTGCTGAAATAATTTCATGGACAAACTGACCAAAAAAAAATGATCTGTGAATAAATCGTAGAGAAGGAAAAGCTCGCCAGCCATGTGGACAGATAAGACTCCTCCCCTGCAAAACCAGCCTCTCTTTCATGCCCTACATTGTCTGCAGGCATGTATAAGCTATATTCTAGATCATTTGGCATTCAAATAGCTAAGTCGGCTCCACTCAGCTCAGAGATGATTGGGGGGCTGAAGTGTTAGCATTCTGCCCTCCTGCAAGGAGGAAAGGGAATCTAGTTCAGGAACCAAAGGAAAGCGTATTCATCTCATCTCATCTTTTAAGACCCCGAGACAGACTCCTCCACTGCCCCCCAGATACAGGGTCCTCCAGCATTAAATGCACAGAAATCAAATGCATATCCATTACAGTAGAAATCCTAGGGAAGTGGAGCTGAGGTGACAGATTTTGAAGAGCAAACATGCACCTTTGTGCTCTGTCTTCTTAAAATTCATCCTCTCACCTGCCAGCCTTGAGAATTGCCTATTTACATAACTAGCTGCCTAAAATGGAACATTCGATAATGTTACACGGTGCCTCACTCCGTTTGAACCCATCCCCAGGATATGAGTGCTCCAGAAGTCCTCCAGCAGCATGTAGCATGGTGCGCTGGCCTGCCGCCATGCCTCCGTGTGGCGTGAGCCTGTCAGCACTCCCGAGCTAAGCAGATGTCAGGCCTGCTCACCGAGGTGGGAGACCGGCAAGCAGCAGGGGGAGGGGACGTGATTCAGCAAGTGGCACAGTAGCACACGGTCTTCAGGGGACACACAGCATCTCTCCCCGAGCTTCCCAGCGGGCACCTTGTTCTGCCCAAGGTGCTGTCTCCGAGACCACCGGCAGAGAGGGACTGAGAACGGGGAAACTGCAGGATCTATGGGGACAACCCGGTACAGGAGGGAATCAGCTCTGATGCCAGTCCTGGCGCTGAGCCAGCCTCGACCCCCTGCTGGTCCTTTCCACGGCATGGCTCTCCCTCCTATCCAAACGGGAATCCTGCTGCTCGCTTATAAGAGGAATATAAATAAGTGATAAGGAAGTGTTCTGATGACGATAAGCGCGTCTAGCTTCTCAGCGGACCACATGTATCAAAGAAGGCAATTGTGTGTGTTTGTTCATTTATTTTTCAGCGTTCCGGTTCCTGTAGTCAGTTTAGAGAAAATTCCTAACCTAGTGAAGGCAGATGGTGCCAATGTCAAAATGAACTCTACAACCACTACCGCGATCACCTCCTGCTCCACCTCGTCCTCTGCTGTCTCCACCCCACCTTTAATTAAGCCAGTCTTGATGTCCAAGTCAGTGCCACCTTCCCCCGAGAAGATCTTAAATGGCAAAGGAATTTTGTCCGCCACAATAGACAAGAAACACCAAAATGGCACCAAAAACAACAACAAGCCTTACAGGAGACTTTCAGGTACGTGTCTGTGTCCTTCGAGTCTGGCTCACGATTAGACTGCATCTGAGTCACATCCATGACCAAGGAGTGCTGTGTTCTTATCATGGAGCAGGTCCGTTTCGTTGTAAGGGGAACACGGGATTTACCTGCCAACAGGAACCCCCCCACCTAAAAATGCGAGGGAGAACGGGGTTCTCTTATTTCCGGGCCACATGAGGGCTCTTGCTCTCAGCTCAGTGCTCAGCAGGAGGGGTCCTCCTGGCCCAGGAGGCAGGATGCCTTACACCAACCACGACAGCCCGTGCACTCTGAGGGTCTTATCAGGCTGACAGGCTGTACCCGCCCCAGGTTCCGTAGAAGCCTCCCTACGAGGAAGCTCGACAGCCACAGGGATGGATACCTCACAGTAGGTCAGGGCTGACATGGGGCAGGACCGTGAGTGCTGTCTGCCCCGCTCTGGGCTTGGGTCTTAGTTGGCTGCCTGGTTGATTCTGTAGTCTGGGGCTACGACCGCCTTCCCCACATAATCAGGTCAGAATTCCCATTTGGGAACATTTAGGCTGGCACAGCCGGTGCGAGGTTGAGGGATTTCTCTCGGATCTCCTTCTCGGTTGTCTGTGTAGACACTCAGGATGCCCGGAAAGGTGCACAGGGCCGAGCTTGGAGGCAATGGTTGCCCTCAGGGGCCCCCATGTGGATGATGTTTGCTTTGGATTTGTTGTGGAACTAAATCTGGCCGTTCTGCTTTCTCCAAAAGACCAAGAAAAGCTATAAACTTTATAACTTCTTCATACACCAGGGGCATTTATCAAATGTTGACTGGAAAAAAAGAAAAGAAAAGAAAATACAGTGAAAGCCACCTGGTAAGAGAGAGAAACTATGCCCTGCAGTAGGAGCATAGTTCTGAATCAGCCTAAGAATCATGGGTCCTTTTTATTTTTTACTTCGTGTTAATCTGTATTTCAGGTTTTCTATCTTACATCTATAACTGTTAAAAAAAAATCATTTCTTGAAAGCCCTTTGGACCCAAAGCATGTAAAAGATGTTTACCCTAAAAATCTCCCCATGTACTGTTCACCCACTCTCAAGAAAGAAAGGTAGAGCCTGGCATTCTCTTTGAGCATTGCGGGGGTAGGGGGGACCAGTGTGGACAGGATACCCAGCTCCTGGCTCTCTTCCTGGATGGAAAGTTGAAGTTCACTCCGCAGAGGTGGGTGGCAACATCCCTGGAAAAACCAGTAGGGCCAGCTGGGCAGTGTCCAGAGACAGAAGCATGACCGTGGTTTCCAGACTGCGCCCCAACCTGAAGTTGTAGAGGGGTTGTTGGGGTTTTTTTTGGTGTTTGTTGGTTTTGCATTTTGTCGGTTGTTTTGTCTCATTGGGTCTTTTGCTTGTTTCTATCTCGCTTTCACATTTGGCAGCCAGCTCCTACGCCCCGGCCAAACAACCTGCTCAGTTGTAGGCCAACGTGAGCGCTGGTGTGGATCTGGGCCCGGGTCTGACTCTGACAGGCCCAAGGGAAAGAACTCAGTGGCAGGCAGCCTGGGGCCTGGCGCCCAGGCCCTCCTCGGTGGGCAGAGAGGGCTCGGAGGAAACGGGCATCTCCAAACCTCACAGTTTTCTAGTCTTAAAAGAGAAGCTAAAAAAAAAAAAAAAGTTGGGGGGAGGCCCCTGGCTGGCTCAGTCAGAAGAGCATGAGACTCTTGATCTCCGGGTCGTGAGTTCAAGCCCCCCGTTGGGTGTAGAGATTACTGAAAACAAAATCTTTAAACAAGAAGATGATGATGACAATGACAAAAGCCAAAAAAAAGGGGGTGGGAGGCATTTTGATGACCAGCCGGGAGACCTGTCTTTGGACCTAAGAATGGTTTTTATTACAGCCATCATCATGACCACCGTTGCAACCACCACAGGCCCCAGACTTTCTATTAAAAACAGAACACATTCATTTATTATGCTCAGAGTTTCCCCCACCAATCTCAGACAGCTTTTCAGGTAAGCTCTTTTTAGTTTGCAGCCATTCAAACCTCTTAAGGAGACACCCGGCCAAACTGATATACAACCCCCACCCACTGACACTGTTGCCGGCCTCCCCGAATGCCCACAGGAGCTGTGTCTTCCCTGTGCTGCAGGACTCAGGTGGTTGCTGGGTGCCTTCCAGAAATAGCACGGACGGACTACCCAAGACGTGGACCTTTGAAGCCGAAAGGGTCCTTAAGGGATGGTCTCAGGTCCCCTCATTTTCCGGGGAGGGGAGCATTTTGGTAATCCAGGAGGGGCAAAGGATCCAAAGTGGGCATGGAAAGAGTAGGCTCCTTAGAAGTAACGTCACCATGAGCCATCAACAGTCCAGTAAGAAGGCAGGAACTAGAGAAAGCCTGACCTCCCTGCAGCCATCCTTCATCCCCACCTGGTTGGCGAGCCGTGGCTCATTCCCATTTGGAGCCAACAGGCGTCATGCTGGGAGCAAAGCAAGCTGTGAGACCAGCAGGTCTTGCCCTCTGTGCACCTTCAACTTCAGATGCTCAGACAGCACACACCCAGACTTTCCCCCTGCCCCCGCCTGTGACACCGCCAAACATTCCTGAATCAGGTCCAGAATTCTGGTCGGCAGGACTGTGTGGAAAGCCCGGTGCTGAGGACTTTGCAAAGCACAAGAGAGGCGGGTCACACTGACATGGCAAGGAATAATCTCCCACTTAAATGGTGAAAACTAGCGGGAAGGCAAGGGGCTGGGGGAAGGTGACGTATTCTTGGAGCTGCCCAGGAAAAAGTGGCCCTCGGGCCTCAGGTGGCTCTCCCTGGTCTGCAGCCAGCTACACCCGAAGTGCCAAGTGCTTGGGGAACTGTTTAAGTGAAATAAAGTGTGCGAGCATCAGGGCTCCCTGCCCTCGGTGCCTGCCCCCCCGCCCCCCACCCAGTCCCTGCGCCTTGTGCTGCGTCCCGCACCCTGACCGAAGTTGGACTTGGAACTCTGGGGTCAGAGGGGAGTGCCATTTTCCCCTGAGTGGTTCTTGAAGCATTTTAGCAGCCGGTTGGAAAAAAAAAAAGAGAAAAGAAAAGAAAAACAAAAAACCAGATTGCCTGACAATGTCTCACTTGTTGGTGCAAATGTGCATTTTTTTTTAAATGTAGTCTTAATGCCAAATCCTATTTAGTCTCCTTTTTTCTTATATTTTTTGTTTGTTTCTTAAACCAGAGAGAGAATTTGACCCAAATAAACACTGTGGAGTATTGGATCCCGAGACAAAGAAACCTTGCACAAGATCCCTCACCTGCAAGGTATTTCTCTTTCCATAAAAAATACTTCCTGCTCTCGCTGGGGCCTTTGTCGAAATGTTTGCATGCCACTCTCTGCACACGGCAGGGTGTGGAACCTCGACATGACCCCCAGCTGTTCTTTGTAAGGGAAATGCTTTCTTCTCTTCCATGGTAGCAGAGTGCCTGCCTCAAGCTGGCTGGCTTTTTAAGAAGGAAAAAAAAAAAAAAAAAATAGGCTTCCCCTGTTACTTGTGAGGCCAGACAGTAAATTGTATTTATAGGCACTCACAGGCGGTTCTAAACCCTGCTACGTTTTAATGTATGCAGGAGCGGCGGCGGCGGCGGCCTGAAAGGCAGCCGTGGAGGGGAGGACCAGCGGCCGCGCCCCTGATCCGGCCACGCCGGGTGGCCAGGGGGACAGCTGACCCAAGGCGGCCGCCATTGGGTAGCCCCCAGCCCTTTTTTTCATGCTGAACTGCTAGTGCTTCTTGGGATCGAGGCCGTGGCCCCCTCCGCCTGGTGGCTCTGTGGGTCTGGGCCACAGCGAGCCTCCCACCTGCACCTGGATTAACTCTAGCGCATCCTCACCATCGCCTTTCCTCCGAGAGGTTTCCGTGGGCTCTGCGCTGAAGCTCGTCATCCCGTGCCAGTTGTTGCTTTTTTGTTTTTGTTTTTTTTTTTGTTTGTTTGTTTTTGGAGGAAGCTTTGGCTTCTTAACGCCAGGAGTGTAGGGCATGGTTGCATTTGCGTGGTGTCTGCCTCTTCCCAGCCACAGAACGGGAGCTGTTGCCTTGAAGTTGACTTTTCAAGCACCTCTAAATTCCCATGAATTGCTGTTTCTGAAATGGAGGGCCTGGGGAAGCAGGTTTATGTGCTGATCAAAGAGGCTGTGCTTTTCATCTCTCTTCTCCTTAGACACATTCGCTAAGCCATCGGAGGGCAGTCCCAGGCCGGAAAAAGCAATTTGACCTCCTTCTGGCCGAACACAAAGCCAAGTCCCGGGAAAAAGAAGTGAAAGATAAAGAGCATCTCCTGACTTCGGCGAGGGAAGTACTTCCAAATCAACCCGGGCCGGCGCAGGACTCTCTGCCAGGACCTTCAGGGAGCTCTGGGCCAGAACCGAAAGTCGCCTCCCCTGCAAAATCCAGGCCACCTAACTCTGTGCTTCCTAGGTAAGTCCCACTTTGGCAATAGAAGCCCTGAGTCCTAGGTCAAGTGACTAGGTCAAGTGACTTGCCGGGTTGTGTGTGGTCTGATCACATGGCAGACGAAAGTCGTAATAGCCCTACCTCCTAAGGCGGTTGTGAAGTTTAAGTGAGATCGTGGGCATAAGGGGCTCAGCCAGTGCCCGCCACGTAGCATTTGGTGGATTTTACTGTGGTCATCATCATCATCATCATCATCTTCATCTTCATCTTCATAGCAGACCTTTATCAGATCATCATCATCATCATCATCATCTAATACGTGGAAGATGACATATCAGCCCTGGGCAACTTTCCAGTTGCCTGAGTTTTTAGATGAGTTGGACACTCCTGGTGCAGAGAGTGGGGTAGTCATCATACCTTAGGAGCCCATTTGCCACAGTATTTTGTGGGTTTTTTCCCACAACCCTCCTATGATCAGGGCGAAAGGAAAACTAGCATCACAGAGGCTGTTTGTCCTTACATCTCCCTCCACACCAAGAAAGCTGAGCCATCTGTTTGGGGTTTTATTTGGTTGACCTGGACAGAGAGGAAAGAACAGAAAACAGAATTAAAACCCATTTGGATTAAGAGTTATTTAAAATCCATGCACGTCTGTTTTGATGGGCAGTGGAGTCCTGAGCAGCCGACCAATTTCCAGGTAATAGGACAGGGAGCCCTTCATCCGAAAATATTTATCTAGTGCTTGCTCCATAAGCAAGGTACCAGCATACCACCTTTTTATGGTGCTTCACTTTATTGCGCTTCGCAGATATTGCACTTTTTTTTTTTTTTTTGGGTACAAATTGAAGGTTTGTGGCAACCCTGCGTCGAGCAAGTCCGTCGGCGCCATTTTTCCAACAGCGTTTGCTCACTTCGTGTCTCTGTGTCCATAAAGTATTTTTTAATTAAAGCATGTATATTAGGTATAATGCTATTGTACACTTAATAGACTGCAGTATAATGTAAACGTAACTTTTATAGGCACTGGGAAGCCAAAAAAATGTATTTGATTCGCTTTATTGCGATACTGCCTTTCTGGCAATGGTCTAGAAAAAAAACCGTGCTCTCTCCCAGGTACGCCTGAACTATGTCAGGTACTTTCAAGCTGTGGCACAGAGATGAATGCAATTAGATCCTGCTTTTCAAGAATTCAGAGTTTAGAAGATAAGAGACTCGGATATCCATAACTTCATGAAAAGGAAACATTAATAATAAAATAATGAGAAGTGCAGATAGTGGTATTATCTGATCATTTTTAAGGTGTACAGCGTGAATCTCAAAGGGTAATTGTCCGGTCAGCAAGCAGGCATTAAGAGAACACAGTTAACAAAAGAAAGGGAAGGAGTTGATTTTTAAAGCAAAAACATATTTGATGACAGTTGGTACGGATCTGCTGGGTTCTCACCCTCTTGCCTTCCACTTTGGTGCAAGCCTGATCCCGTTCGATAGCCAGAGTCCCTCTGCCGGAACCGCCAAGGTCGGCTTCAGGTGCCAGAGGACACGGTCGGATGGAACGGCCACACGCACACATTTCCTGCGTCATCAACATCGCCGTGGTGTTGCCGCTGACTTCCATGTCACGTCATTTTGCAGGATCATTTTATAACTACTTCTCACGGTAACGCCAGAATTTGGTGAAGGATATTTATTACCTTTCCTGAGCTTTAGAGTTAAGCAGGCAGTTCTGTTCCAGATTTCCGGGAGAGGCTTCAAGTCTCTGTACAGTGGCTTTCAAACTTTTGTGGCTGTAGAGCTTTTTTATTCCCACAAAACCTTACACGGTACCCAGTATAAAAGCAGAGACCTGCTCCACCTAAAGCCAGCTCCGCTCTGCTCCCATCACACATGGACCCAGAGCCTGCTGTCCCCCAGCCCCTCCAAGGGATTCCCTTGGAGTCCCCAAGGGCTCCAGGGAACCCAGTTTGAAAACCGTGTTTTATTAAAGGCTCACCGTAGATTTTGACTGATGGAGGCACTTCACACCCCCGCAGAGTACCTGGCTTAATGGTGGAGACAGGGGGCAGCCGTTAAAAATAAAACAGGTAGTGGAGGCACGAGAGCAGCTTCTTTTCTTTCTTTCTTTCTTTCTTTCTTTCTTTCTTTCTTTCTTTCTTTTTTTTTTTTAAGATTTCATTTATTTATTTGAAAGAGAGAGAGCACAAGCGGCAGTTTTTTTTTTTTGGAGAGGAAGAGGCAGACTCCTCGCTGAGCAGGGAGCCTGTTGTGGGGCTCAGTCCCAGGACCCCGGGATCATTGACCTGAGCTGCAGATCATGACCAGATGCCCAACTGACCGAGCTGCCCAGGTGCCCCGAGAGCAGATTCTTCATGTTCTTTTTTAATTTAATTTTCAGGGGAATGTTTGCCAATAGAGAAATGCCAGGTGTTTATGTTCTCGTAAGAAAGCAGAAGAAAGACTAAGAATGAGGTTCATCAGCAAAAAGAATGCCTCTGAAAGGAAGGAGGCGGCCAGGGAGCACATTACAAATGTTGGCTAACAGAATAATTGTTAAGGATGCTTTTCAAGGTTGATATGAGCATCAGAAAACTCAGGGATGAACTTGATTCCAAAATTTGTAGGAAATAATGTCCTTTTTCACTTGTTTTAGTTAGGATGAGACCCCATAAATCAGAGATTGAAAAAACATGATCAGAATTTGATGTCCTCCTTGGGGAGCCTGGCTGACTCGGTCAGGAGAGCATGTGACTCTTGATCTCAGTATTGTGAGTTCGAGCCCCACGTTGGGTGTAGAGATCACTTAAAAATAAAACCTTTAAAAAAAAAAAAGAATTCAATGTCCTCGCATAAAATTTAAAACATTTATTTTTCCTCATATTAGAGATACACAATATATATAATAGCTATTTCAATCACAGTAGTGATCTATACTTGGCAAAAAAAGAATTATCACACATGAATGGAAATATTATAATCCCTTCCAATCGTGAGTTCCTTTTGTAGGAAATGCTGACACATGTGAATTTTTTACATGTCGTTCGGTAACCTTGAAAATACTTCAGTTCTCCTATCCTTGAATTACAGCCCTCTCTTGTCAAGGGTTCCTGAGAAAAGAACTTAGGTCTAGAGCTGGAAAAGTTAAAGTCAGTAGCAAGGGCCGGAACAAGGTTGGAAGTGCAAATGTCAGCTCCGTGCTCACTAACAAGATGAGCGCGGCCATGTTTCTGAGCCTCCGCTTTTTCAAACTGCTCATCTGTAAAGTGGAGCTAAGAAGAATTAGGTGAGAAGTACCAAGTTCCTAATACGCACAGAATTAATGGTAGCTGCTAGTAAGTGGTAGTAGTGTTCCATGGAAAGCAGTGTGAGTAAATAAAGGCCTTGGTGCCACCTGATTTCCATTTGCCCATCCTCCTGGCCGCTGTTCCCATCCTGGGGGCCCTTGAATAGGGGCCCTATGCTCTATTTCTTTGCCCCAGCCCCAAGGGAACATATTACATGCCCCCAAAGAGTCCAAGGCTATGGATGACCAGCCCAACCAAACCCATCAGGACTTTTGTGGGAAGGGGAAGGAGGGCAGAGGGTTGAGCCGGACTCTGACAAGTCAGTCTCTGGCCCCCAGGAGGGAGGGAGGAAAGGTAGGCCATGGAAGCCAGTAATGACAAAATCTGGGCACATTCCCCTCTGTCTTGTGGACGCTCACACATCTAATCTTTTTTTTTTTTTTTAAAGATTTTATTTATTTATTTGAGAGAGAGAGAATGAGAGAGTTTTTTTTTTTTTTTGAAGAGGGTCAGAGGGAGAAGCAGACTCCCTGCTGAGCAGGGAGCCCGACGCGGGACTCGATCCCGGGACTCCAGGATCATGACCTGAGCCGAAGGCAGTCGCTTAACCAACTGAGCCACCCAGGCGCCCTCACACATCTAATCTTAAAGTATAAAAATAGCGGAGGCCTGGGTGGCACAGTCAGTAGGGCATCCGACTCTTGGTTTTGGCTCAGGTCATGATTTCAGGGTCCTGAGATCGAGCCCTGCATCGTGCTTGGCGCCCAGCACAAAGTCTGCTTGAGATCCTGGGCCTCTCCCAGTCCCTCTGCCTGTCCCCCCTGCTCATGCGCTTGTGTTCACTCTCTAAAATAAATAAATAAAATCTTTTATAAAAATGGCAAAATCCGAGGAATCTTAGACTGGCACGGGTAGTGGGGAGAGAGGCAAAAGTTTCTAGATACCTGAAAAAGGGCAGAGATGATTCTGGAGTGAAAGCAACTCCAGCTGGCGCCTCATTAGGATGTTACTGCCACACTGTAAGACTTGACTTCATGTGTGTCCCTCTGTTTTTTCTACATCCATTTCTCAATGTGAGGGACTTTGAAGTCACACAGATAGTGTCAAGTCTCATTTCCACTTCTTACTAGCTTTGCCACCCATTCCCTCACCTCAGAAATATAGATAAGTTACACCCACCTAAAGCAGCAGGTACGTTGCATGAGAAGATGTACGTTGCATGAGAAAATGTACGTTGCATGTCTAGCACATAGGAGGGACTCAGTTAAGATCGATTGTCGTGTGTTCTCTTCCCCAAAGCACTCTGAGACAGACTGATGCTCATGCTTCCTCAAAGGGGTGGAGGAGGGAACTTTCTCTTAGTTTCCCTGAGTGGAACTGGACAGGGATCATTGATTGTCATACAGTCTTTAGACCAGACTGGTAGATGGAGAATGGCGGGTGATGTCATGCTGACATCAGAAGGGTGGATGGCAGCTTAACAAACTCGAGTGACTTTTTCAACACACTCCCATGACTAGTTGCCCCATTCCCTATCACTCCTCACCAAGCCTTGTTTTTCTGAGACCAGGTTGGTTCCAGCAAACTTTTTCCCTCAGGTTCTGCCCTTGGGTACAGTGATCAGATCTGGAAGGTGTTGAAAGCATCCCCCACTCCATTATTGCCAGGAGGGTGCCTACATCTTGAGTGAAACAAGCCTGCAAAGGAACAAATTCAGAGCTCCTTCCTCTCAGGGTGCATGTGCAT